CTTCTCTTGGATAATATTTGCCATCTATGTTTATATGATATTTAATACCGGGGTTGTAGAAACAAGAATAGTCATTTATAGTTCGTCTGAACAGTACAAACATAGTATCTGCATGTTTCATTGCAGTTGTTAAAGCAATATCTGTTCTTGCACCTGGGTCAGCACTTTGGTTTCCAACTTCACCTGCAAAGTCTTTGACAGATATTTGGTGTATAGGGAACATAAGTGGAACTGCAATATATTTGGCAGCTAAAGCATTTGAAATATCTGGGTCCAACATATAGACTGCAAGTCTGCTTTCTATTCTCTTGCATTCAAACTTTTCGCATGTGAACTTAACTGGGTCCCAAGCAGTTCCAGCAGCATTGAAATAATAGTTACTTCATTGTTGAAGTTTGAGAAACCAAAGTCTAAGTCAACTTTGTCTTTGCAAAAGTCACAGAACTTGGCTCCACCAGTTCCAGCTACAGTAATGCTGAATGGGTCTTGTGTTGGTGCAATGACTAAGTTATTTTTGCTTGGAGTAAGTTCGATAGAAATTTTTCCTGCCCAGTTTGGCAAGTATCTTAAAAACCTGAAGATGAGGAAAGATGACAAAGGAACTCTAAGTTTCAGTTTTACTTTAGTGGCAGCAGTTCCATCTGAACCAGAAAGGTTAACATAAACTCCTGGAACGTTAGGGTCAAGTCTTCTTATTTTCTCAATATTTGCATACTGGTCTGTTTGTTCTCTAGCTTGTGGTTGTACTGAGTTTCTCAAGCGAACCATTCATAGTTTGCCCATGTTACTGTTTGAACTAAGTCAGAGTTAGAATATATCTTATATCCCATGAAAACTTCTGGAGCATATTGGTATCCGACATAGAAAATTCCATTGCAACCTTTCTTGTCAGACAACTTGGCAGAAGGTTTTATTCAATGTCTTGTTCCACGTATAAGAATGAGTTGTCAATAGAAATAATATGAAACCTGTCGCAAGCAATATCTACTGTTGTTGAAGAACCTTCTCCAAACTCACCTACGTTTCCATAAGAAACAGCAGTTGTATATTCGTAAGTTCCAGGAACTATTTCTGACCTTCTAATGGCATTGTCGCATTCGTTATACCATTCGGAAACATTTCCGTTCATGGCATCCAAAACTGTTGGCGTTATATTCTGAGCGGCGTACATTTCATATGGGTAAAAATATAGAATAGTTGAATTTATTTGTCATAATAGAACCCACTCGTACCAAGCTTTACTTTGTTCTACTCTTCTTCTTTGGTGTCGCTTTTGGTAACTTGCCCTCTGCTTCAAGTTGTTGCATCTTTGCCTCATGTTCACCTAGTATGTTGTAAATTTCCCATGTCCTTTTTGCCTTTGGGCTCTGGTCGCCTATCTCAGGTAACCTATATCCTAGAAAGATTTTGTCATAGTTTGTATTTGAGTCTTCGCGTATTGTTTGCATGACTCTTTCCTGAGTTTCGGTTCAAGCTCTTCAAACAGAGCTTGTCCATATGGAATAAGCTCGTTTCCAAATATATGTTTTTTGTAGCCATTCTGGTTTTCTTTCCATGTTACCAAATAATATCTTTTGTGAATGGGAAAGCTTTTACCCAATGTTTCAGTCTTGCGTCATTTATTTCTGTAGTTGGTTTTATTTTGTCAAGGAACATGTTTTTTCAATACTAACATTTCATTTGGTACTGTCCATTTGAGTTTTCTTAAATATTCATCCCTTCTCGGTTCATTGTCTGCAAAGTAAGTTTTTATGACATTTTGTAAACTTTCGTTTGCAAGGTCATGTACAATAGGTTCTCTTCCTTCTCTCTCCCTAACTTTCTTTCTAAACTCTTCACCAAATATACCATCTCTATGGTTCTGTGTAGTTCTTTGAGATAAATGTTCTAGAACGTCAGGTGTTATATTTCCATCAGCCATGTTCATTTCTACTGGTCCAAAATATCTGCATCTTTCATATCTTTCAATGGCATTAAAGCCGCGCTGAAAATACCAGCTATATCTGGTTCACCATTCACTTCCATTGCGTCTACAACTTCTTGGAATTGTGGTGTAAGTTTATGAACCACCCATCGGATTAGCTTTATGACCCCATCTCATTGTAGTTCCATAGTCTGCAGAAACAAAAGTAGGTTTGTTTCCATATTGGTTAGGTTCTGAATGAACTTTAAACAATGTTTCATTTCTATATGTTTTGGTGAAATTTAACCTTTTATTTTCACCGAGTTCAGCCAAAGATTGAACGTTATATGGTCGTAAGTAAAAAAGGATTGTTGTATTTGCGTACACTTTCTTTCAGTTCTTCCATTCTATGCTGAATATTTTCATCTGATGTTGGAGTCTTTTGTATGTCGGCGAACATTTTTCGATATTCTTCTACTATGTCAGCCGAATTTTGCTTAGACTCTTGGAAAGATTCCATATTCTCCTCATACACTTGTTGAGGGTCAAGATTTTTCGGCTGTTCCAAATCTTCATCTAGTTCTGTGAAGTTAGTTTCCAAAGGAGGGACTTGTTTGTTTCCTTCAGGCTCTTCTAGCTGTTGTTGCTGAACTATTTCTTCCATGTCTGGTTGTATCTGAACTTCTTCCTGTGGAGTTTCTTGTACCTCATCTGCTGGCATTTCATATATTCCGAGACCGTTTTTAACAAGTTCCCTATCTAAGTCATCCGGACTCATAAACCTTTCTTCTTTCGTTCCGTCTCTATTTTTTACGCGTTTCATGAAGAGAGTTGAATTATCGTTTAGCTCTGACACCAAATATCTCGGAGTAAATTCATTCATGTCATTTGGATGATATGCTATTAAATCATATCCCTTAGCGAGCTTGTATTTTCCAGGTTTGAAATTATATCCCATTTTGGTGCTGAACCATAAAGCTAAATAGGTTCGGGTCAGTATTTCCTTCCTTGAACTTTCTAATAGCTTCTTTATATCTGTCACTAAAGTCAAGAGTATCTGGGTAACCATAATTTCCTTAAGCATTTTTAAGAATTCTTGGTTTCCTTGTTCTCTACTTCTTTTATGTCCTTGCTCTGTTTGTGGTTGTTGCTGTGCAGTGTTTTGAACTGTTGGTTGTGGTGCAGTGTTTTGAACTGTTGGTTGTGGTGCAGTGTTTTGAACTGTTGGTTGTGGTGCAGTGTTTTGAACTGTTGGTTGTGGTGCAGTGTTTTGAACTGTTGGTTGTTGTGTTGGTTGTTGTGTTGGTTGTTGTGTTGGTTTTGGTGCATGCCTGTGTCTGTGTCCATGTGACGATGTAAATGTTTTAGGTAGTCCTGGTGCAGGTGCTTCTCTTGGAGGGTTTGGTGGTATATAAGTTCCACTAGCTAGTATATAAGTTCCACCAGCTGGTATATAAGTTCCACCAGCTGGCACATATGTTCCATCTGCAGCATAATGTCCTACCTGACTTTTCGTTTTTAAGAAAGCATTTACTAGGTCTGTTTTGGTCTGTTGTAACTCTTTTTCTTGACTTTCCACAACAGTTGCTCTAACGGCGTCATAGGCACTTTGAACTGCCTGTCTCGTTGCTGCATCTGTTATTTTCGTCATATTTTGTGCTACTTCTCTTAACTCGTTGTCGAAACCTTCAGACTTCAGTTTCTTTCCAGATGAGAAGTCGTTCACTAGTTTCACCTTACTATGAAGAGCTTCGAAGGCGTTCTTAAAGTCAGCATTCATTAAAGCTTCATTTGAACTGTCTTCATCCGCTTGTATTTTTGTCCTTATTGACCCTATAAGTTGGGCTGCTTTAGCGTTGGCTTGGGCATCTAACCAGTCATTATTAGCTTTTATATATTCTGCACTTTTCATTGCCTTTTGCATGGCTGCGTCGTTATTTTTACTTTCTTGTGCTAAGTTTTCATACTGTACGGTTTGGTTTTGCAACTGTAAAAGTTTTTCTGCCTTTACATTTGCTTCAACTTCTTTTTTATACTCATCGCTATCCATATATGTCTTCAGGGCTTTTTGTTTTATTTCTTCATCTTTCAGTACTTTATATTGAGTAGTATGGTTTTTCAAATTTATAACATCTTGTTCCATTTTTGCTACTTCTGCTGCTTTTTCTGACACTTTTTTCGCATATTCCTCTGTACTTAGTTCTTTCAGTTGTTCTTCTTTCTTCTTTTTCTCTACGTTTAACTCATTGAGTTTCTTTGTGTGTCTGTCATATTCTAGTTTCTTTTCGTTTTCACTTATTTGTTTCTGTATGTCTATGTTTGACCTTTTGACATCTGTTATTTGATTTTTGAGTGAACTCAAATTCATTTGACTTTGAGGGTTATAAGCTGTTCCGTCTGCAGCTCCACCATAGCCTGCCATTTTCGCTAAAAGTGCCGCTCTTAAACCTCCACTCTGTGCACCAATAACTCGGTTTAAAAGCATAGGGTTGCTTGACATTTGTTGCAACATAGTGGGGTCATTCATAATTTGTTGTTGCAACTGTTGTTGTGGTGTTAGTTTTACTATTGGATGTTTCAATGCTCCCTTCCTCTTACGTATATTCTTACGTAGCTTACGTGGCATTTTAAGTGAAGTTAAAAAGCGGTTTTTGACAGATGTTTATATGACACTTTTTGTTCAGCACAAAAAACTACTCGGTCAAAGTGTTGTCAGTTTTGTAAAATAACCGTCCTATCTCATTCTATAAGGGGGAAAGGCTTCTCAAAGTATACTTCCTTGGAACGCCCGTAACTTTTCCTGTAACGACGATAGACCCTTATTTGTCCGGACAAAGTTATACTATTTTGAGTGCTCTACAAAAAAGTCAACAGCGACGACTCTCAAAAACCGTTGTGTAAAAAGTTTTACCGTTGGACAAAAAAGTATATATAGAAAACAAAAAACGTTTATAGTTCATTCAATATTTGAGATGGAACGGTTTGCCAACGGTAACTATTAAATAAAATAAAAAAATAGATGGGGTCTCCGTTGGTAAAAACCGTTTATTTTAAACTTTTCTATGAGTAGTCCGAAAAAAACAGTTTATTTTTCATAATGGAAGGAAGAAAAAGTGTCGCAAACAATTCGTCGACTACCTCTGCAGTTAAAGTTCCTACAACTTATGTCTCACCATTCTCAAAACCCTTACAACCTCCTATAATACCAAAGCAACTTCCTCATACAATTGCAAACAATTCGTCGACTACCTCTGCAGTTAAAGTTCCTACAACTTATGTCTCACCATTCTCAAAACCCTTACAACCTCCTATAATACCAAAGCAACTTCCTCATACAATTGCAAACAATTCGTCGACTACCTCTGCAGTTAAAGTTCCTACAACTTATGTCTCACCATTCTCAAAACCCTTACAACCTCCTATAATACCAAAGCAACTTCCTCATACAATTCAGGGTCAATCAGACTCAAATTCGAATTCAAACCAACCTTCAAACGCACCAGAACAACACACACATGTCTCAACCTCTCAAACTACACAGCAAACACAAAGACAAACTTCCAATTCTGGTACAATTCTTATATACGAAAAAAAGAGATCTGACATTGTGTCAGATCTCAGTAAAAGTGACATTTACATGTCAAAAAAATAGAATGAGTTTAAGTAATTAAAATTGAGGGTGAGAGTAGTATTGTATGAAATAATATCTCTCACCCTCCAATTCATCCTATGGCGCCGAAAAAATTTTGGTGAAATGCGACCACATTTCACCAAAATTTCTCGGCGCCATATAGAGAACTAGAGCCTGTGAGGTACTGATACTATCCATGTACCTCGCAGGCTCTAGTTCCAAGCCAAAATGGCTAAAAATTGCCCGCAATTGTTCACATTGCGGGCAATTTTTAGCCATTTTGGCTGGGAATTGGAGGGTGAGAGTAGTATTGTATGAAATAATATCTCTCACCCTCCAATTCATCCTATGGCGCCGAAAAAATTTTGGTGAAATGCGACCACATTTCACCAAAATTTCTCGGCGCCATATAGAGAACTAGAGCCTGTGAGGTACTGATACTATCCATGTACCTCGCAGGCTCTAGTTCCAAGCCAAAATGGCTAAAAATTGCCCGCAATTGTTCACATTGCGGGCAATTTTTAGCCATTTTGGCTGGGAATTGGAGGGTGAGAGTAGTATTGTATGAAATAATATCTCTCACCCTCCAATTCATCCTATGGCGCCGAAAAAATTTTGGTGAAATGCGACCACATTTCACCAAAATTTCTCGGCGCCATATAGAGAACTAGAGCCTGTGAGGTACTGATACTATCCATGTACCTCGCAGGCTCTAGTTCCAAGCCAAAATGGCTAAAAATTGCCCGCAATTGTTCACATTGCGGGCAATTTTTAGCCATTTTGGCTGGGAATTGGAGGGTGAGAGTAGTATTGTATGAAATAATATCTCTCACCCTCCAATTCATCCTATGGCGCCGAAAAAATTTTGGTGAAATGCGACCACATTTCACCAAAATTTCTCGGCGCCATATAGAGAACTAGAGCCTGTGAGGTACTGATACTATCCATGTACCTCGCAGGCTCTAGTTCCAAGCCAAAATGGCTAAAAATTGCCCGCAATTGTTCACATTGCGGGCAATTTTTAGCCATTTTGGCTGGGAATTGGAGGGTGAGAGTAGTATTGTATGAAATAATATCTCTCACCCTCCAATTCATCCTATGGCGCCGAAAAAATTTTGGTGAAATGCGACCACATTTCACCAAAATTTCTCGGCGCCATATAGAGAACTAGAGCCTGTGAGGTACTGATACTATCCATGTACCTCGCAGGCTCTAGTTCCAAGCCAAAATGGCTAAAAATTGCCCGCAATTGTTCACATTGCGGGCAATTTTTAGCCATTTTGGCTGGGAATTGGAGGGTGAGAGTAGTATTGTATGAAATAATATCTCTCACCCTCCAATTCATCCTATGGCGCCGAAAAAATTTTGGTGAAATGCGACCACATTTCACCAAAATTTCTCGGCGCCATATAGAGAACTAGAGCCTGTGAGGTACTGATACTATCCATGTACCTCGCAGGCTCTAGTTCCAAGCCAAAATGGCTAAAAATTGCCCGCAATTGTTCACATTCCCATCTTTTGTTGGTAAGACGAAGAATATGAAATAAATTATGAAGAAGATAATGATGAATAAAATATCACTTTTTATATTTTTGACACGTAAAGTTGTCACTTTTCTGTCAAACTGTTTTTATCGTTTTCGTATATAACACAATTCCAATTGTACTTACTCATGAAGAAGAAGAAGAATATTTGGTAGAACCAGAAATAAAAGAAAGCGATATTCGTAAGGACGCAGTCAAGAGACTCGAACAATTCATGAAGAATTACCCACAAAACTTAAGCATTCAAGACACAAATGACTATTCAGATTTCTACAATGATATTATTGAAGCCGTCAAAAAATTTGAAGATAATGTTCAAAATCCAACAAACCTTTCAGAATTCTTCTTCAAATTGCTTCCTTATACAGCAAATATCATTGGTTTACAGTTCTGTGACGAGTTTATTCAAACATTCGGTCCCAGACAGCAAAGAAGTCTATACGCACGTCTGAAACTGTTTCATCCTTATCCGCTTACATATAATTGGATTGAAGAACTTCAAGAACACGGAAAGGAACAACATTTCAAGTTCTATGTAGATGTTCCTCAAGGAAAGCTTGCTAAGACATTCACAATACAACCAAAACAATTCTATGAAGACTTTCTTCACGTAATTTCAACTATTGCTATGGTTGAGCCTGAAAGGGTTACATTCGGTCAAAGTGTTTCTCTATATAATGTTCGTCAAGGACTTGAGCCGCTTAAAATAGCCGAGTTTACCTCCTCCTCAGCACAGCTCAAATTGGACTGCGAATTCCAATTTGTTGGAAACTCCAAGTTCTCTCTCCATACACCATTCAACCAACACATCCGTATCTTCATTGCCGGATATGTTGGAGACCCTATAACAAATGATGATGAAGAAGAAATTTCAGAAGAAGAGGAGAAGGAAAGAAGCGAAGACTAAGAAGAAAGATTTCAGAATAAAAATTTTAATTTTAATCTATATAAATTCTTTTTGGCAAAATTTCTTAGGGGCTAGAGGGCACGAAGTGCCTGGAAGCCCCACTACCTCTTTTTTTTTTTTTTTTTTTTTTTTTTTTTTTTAAATGTATCATTTGTTTCTGCAAGCTCAAACAATTATGATCCAAATTCTAATTAATCCGAACTCAACTATCATTAATTTTGATCGATGGTACTGAATGGTTAGAGATCATTATATGACGCTATTTGTTAACTGAACTCAGAAAATTTTTTTATTTAGATGAGAATGAATAATAGATGAGAATGTACAATATTTCCGACTATATTTTGGAACTAAATGGCAATAGATATTTAATCAAAACTAATAATAAGAAATTAATTAAAGCACATTAAACAATTATTTTTTTTCAATTAGAAAACATATAAACGATAATATAAGTTAATGGCTTTTCATAGCCCATCCGTTTTTTCCAAGATTAAGAGGTTGTGGTGATAAGCATGGTAATTTGCTCATACCTGGGACACCTTGATGGTTTACTGGCTGTACTAGTTGTCTTCTTTCCGGTTTGATGGACCTTATAACCGGTCTGATCTTTGATATGTGATTTGATTGAATATTTTCAAAAAGAGTGACTTCTCTGAGCAGCATGGAGTCAGTTGTAAAGACAAGTGAAAAAGGAGGCTGATTACCAACGAAATTAATTATTCCTGCATAACCTATATAAGAGTCTGCGGAGAGAGCAAAACATGTTTCATCGTTGATCTTTTCAATGCCTGTACCAACGTTTTTGCCACCAAAAATGATATAATCTAAGCCATTATTTTCCATAAATTGAGATAATGTCTCATCTGTCGGGGTAATGCTTGCAAAACCTGCAAAAAATGCTTTGTTTTGATCTAAAACATATGGGATTGGAAGTGATTCCTGATATATCTCCTTGATTGTATCATATTTTGTAAATAAACTTGAACGTCCACATAAAACATTGTTCGAAATTTGTGCAGCTAAAGGCAAATAGTTGAATGTTTCCATAAACTCTGTTTTTAGAGATGATTCTGCCCCGTAGAATTGTTCAATATTTGAGGTAAGCGTTCTTTCTCCCTTGGCAATATAAAATTCGCATGAACCTCTCAGGAGAGTTATGAAAGATGGAAACATATATAAGAGTGTGAAAAGAAAAATAACAACTTCAAGTGAAAATTCTCCAAAATTAACATAGTTTCCAAGGAAAATGTATTTTTGTAATGGTGGAAGTCCATGAGTGGCAAATATTTGCAATAAATTTAGAAGATTCCCGTGAAGATCGCCTATTATAATTATGCCAGGAGTTCGTTTAATTAATGGTGGTTGTATTTTCAATATTTCTTTAACATCAGCTAAAAGTTTAAGAATCTGATTTTCTTCAAATATTGGGAGAGGATAAGTCCTTCCGATAGTAGAAGGACCATTTTTCCACTGCGCAAGCAGTTTCTTAAATTCATTGAAGAATGTATTGCTTGACGGTTGCTTTAAAGTGTCTGGCTTGTTTGCTAGTCGAATTGGAATAGGTTTCATGTTGAATGATATTGAAATTCAAATTATGGTTTGGAAATTCATTTTTACATAGTATAGTATTGGAATTTCTTCAACGTTGGAAATAAAAATATTGAATGTTAACAAAATTGAATTCTTTTCAAAAAATAATTTAAACAATATTTGATATTTTATTTAGAAACATCAATTATCTTTTGAATAATCTTTTTCGAATAATTAAATTGAATGCAAGCAAAATTTTTGAATGCATTAGCAATAAAACCCAAATATATTTTGCATTACTATTGGTAAGTCTTTAAAAATGCTCTCGAGTAAATTGTTAACAAATGATTAATAATTTTGAGAAAAATATCATTTTTTATGAAAATTCTTATAATAAAAATATTTAGAGAATTATAAATATCCAAAAGTTCAACTTTTTATTGCATATTTTGAGAAAATAATTCAAGAATAATTATGTAATACTAGTTGATCACAAAATGACTTAATAAACTCCAGTCAAATCAAAATTAGTCCAAGTTTGATAAAAGTGACAAAATGAGCCTCCTCTTGAGTTTTCTTGACAGTTTATCTCTTGGCTATGATACAAATTCATACGAAAATGAAATAGCCTCTAACTTAGAAGAATATATCAATTCTCAGATCTTTTTAGTCTTACAATTAGATGTTTTAGAAAGAATAATCTCGAAACAAACAAAGCCCATTTCATATTCTTCTGGCAAGAATTTTTTGAAACATTGCGTTCAAAATTTCGGGTTGCAATCAATTGTTTTGTTGAAATATCTTCGAGTTGATCCATTAGATGAAAAAAGAGCAAAAAGTTTACTTAAAATATTCAACCAATGCCCAATCATCAGTTATTTAAATTCGGAAGCTGAAAGTGATAACGAAGAAAATGAAAATCCATTTTTATTATCCCTTTCCGATACAACTCAAGCGAAAAATAATGATTTCGATAGTACATCGCTATTTTTAGATGATATATTTACTGCATGCAAGAAAGGAGACCATATTCGAGTTCTTGAATGCATAAAAGAAGATCCTGAAGTCATTAGCACACGAGATTCTCATATGAATACTCCCCTTCACGTAGCAGTTCTCTCCAAACAATACGAAGCCTGCAAAACCTTATTAGAAAACGGAGCAAATCCAAATGCGATATCTTCTTACGATTACACACCATTACATTACTCCTGCATGAATGAGGCTCAAGATATTGTTGAACTCCTTCTGAATCATAACGCGGATGTAGCAGCTGCAGCAGAAAATGGATTAACTCCTTTACATCTTGCATCAGGAGGAACAAATTTGAAGATTTGCGAAATTTTGGTTGAAAAAGGAGCTGATGTAAATGCCACAGGCAAAAATGGAGAAACTCCTCTTTCGGAAGCAAAAGATGAGTACATAATTGCATTCCTTCGATCTAAAGATGCATATTAATTCATTTATATTCTAGTAAACTGTTTGATATATTTTGTAAAAAAAAAAACTCGATGATATTTTTCTCCACAGTTTTGATATATAATACAATTCATAGATGGATACATTTTTAGAGCTGATTCTTATGGTATTCCAAATTATTCGGCCCGTTGTTTATAGTAAATTTTCATGAAATCATGCATCAGGCTTTTTAAAGATATAATTTCTAATACATTCTGTTTCCAAGAAAAATTTGTCAATTGCGCATGTCAATCATAATTTAATTTTGATCATATTATGATCTAAAAAAAAACATTTCTATTTAGGAAGGAAGCATCGATAAGAAAAATAAAACAAACAGAACTTATATTTATAAATAGAACAATTAACAATAGCAACTAACGAAACAATATCATGAATAAACAAAACTATTTTTCATTAGTTGTTGTAGTCGGCGAAATCTCGTACGGATTCCACACCCTCAAGTTTGGATCAGCCGGAACAACTCCCGTGCTATTCACAGTAGAAGTTGCAGAGTTATGACCAGTAGTAGTAGTTGCAGCAGAGCTTTGAGGAGAAGGAGTTCCAGACATGTACCCAGTCTGTTGAGTTTCTTTGTCCTCTACATCAGATAGTTCATCACCTTTGTCTGAGTTGAACTTTTTGTTCATTTCCGCCTTTGATTGGTTGGATCTGTGAACTAAGCATACAACTACTACGCAAACAACTACTACAACAATCACTGCAAGTACAATTAGGAATATGTGAACTCCAGAAAGTCCTCCTGGTGCATTTGTTGGAGCAGTAGTGAAATTCAGTTTGGATTCACTTGGTCCGAGGTTCAAAACCGAGTTGGAAGTATCTCTGTAGTTTGCAAATGGGAAGTCCATGTAACTTCTTGTTCCTCTGAAGATTCCTCCTGTTTCATTTACGTCTTTTTGCAGAGTTTTCTTTGCAGAAACAGAAGCACCTCCGTCATCCGATCCATCAATGATGTCCCCTGTTGTCCATCGAGAAAAGATGGCCCTGGAGTGGATCAAACTTGAATAATATGGAGTTGAGTAACTTGCTTTGGATAAAAGCTGGAAAATGAATGCGTTTGTCTCATACAAGCCATCGGAATATGCAGAAATTGAAAAGGGCGATGATGAAGCGTACCAAATGCAAATTCTCTGATTTTGTTGGATTGTGAAATTAATTGTCTTGCCAGCGAAGTCGCCGCTAGAATAAGAAGTAACAAAGTGATTCTCTAATGAGGAAGAAACACTGACAACGTCTACAGAATTGCACTGGCTGAATAACACCAAATCTTTGTAGTTGAGAACACTGATGTTAAGGACATTGATGTCTGTAAGTGGTTTGATCGTAGCTGAGTAATCGTAGTCTGTTATATTCAAAACAGAAGATCCTTCCCCAAGAAATGAGTATCTGGAGCCTGTAGCAGTGAAGAGTGATGGGTTATGGAATATATATAAGGAATAGCGCTTGAAATTGAGAGTTGAACCAGATTTTGGAATATAATATTCATAAAATCCAGTTATAAATCTGTTGTAAGTGCCGCTGTATGTTTTTCCTTGGATTGTTGTCAAAGGTGTCGAAAAGTTATTGTTGAATTCTTCGTTTTCGAAAATTGCGGAAATAATCTGAGTATTTTGAAGGCCAACAGTTCCTTCCTTTGGCTCAATATTGAATGTTATCTGGAAAAACACTGTAGAACCACGGCAGATGAACCCAGATGATGAAGTAAGATTCGAAACATAATCTCCGTTTGAATTATAGATTTCTACCTCACCAGTGAAGTTCATTGAGTAGAGACTATAATCTACGATATAAGGGGCTGATAGAATAAAGCAATCTGAGCTATATTCTGAAGCATTTAAAGCAAAAGTTGCTTCAAAGCCATCGTAGATAAGGATTCTGTTGCAATCGAGAAGTGGTGGCTTTATTACTGTTATATATGCAGTACGAGCCTTATCTAATGACTCTAAAACGAACCGAGATAATTCTGGGAAATAATATGAACCGTTTTGAAAATTGGTAACTGGTTTCGAAGTTGTGACTTTAAAGTCTTCCGAGTTATGAACAATCAAGTAATAAAGAGGTAAAATATTCAAGGTTAAGTTGTTTGTTACTTCAAGGGCATAATCTCCAGGGGAAGAGAAGAGATCTTGATCATAAACTGTAATTGAGCCCGACACTAAATAGCTGTCAGTTCGATAAAATAATGCAAAAGAATTCGTAACATATGAGTAAGAATCTGAAGATTCCATAGTGTATTGAAGATTGTTATTATTTGAATATATATAAACTTTATCATCGGTATCTATATCTACGGTTCTTATCATATAATTTACATTAACAGGAATTGGTGCAAAGAATGCTATACATTTGAGGTTATTATTAGACATATCACTTTTGGCTAAACGATAATATTTATCGTAAATAACTTCCCATTGACATGATCCAGAGGGAGTATTCAAAACTCCGATGGTTATTGAAATGGCTGAATTGTCCTTAGGTTTTACTGTGAGGGACTGTGACTGAAGCATGACTTTAGTATGATCAGTTGCATCTATTAATGAGATATCTGGAAAATAAAAAATTGAACTTGTTGTTACAAAAAGTTGAACGCCATCAACAGGGATATCAAGTGTCTGGGGATAGCCTGGAGATAGCGTGATTTGGCTAATCCCTAAACAGATGTGTATAAATAAAGAGAACAACAAAATTGAATATTAGTTTAAAAAAATAGTTTATGCTATTTGAATATAATTTAATGAATCATAAAGATTGAATAACTTCAGAATTTTTTGAATACCTTTATAGACAATTTCAGTCAGGTGATTCAGATTTGTGAGTCTATTCAATCTATTAATAAGCAAATAATAATGGATTTATAGTCATAGTGATTTATGTTCGCAATTTATTGAATGTCCAGCCTTGTTGCGGTTCTGAAATTTTATTTCGAAATTTATAAAATCAAAGAGAACATGATAAGTAAACAAAATATTTATTCGGTGAAAATGTTCGAACAATAGTGAGAGTGTAGAATATAAAAGGTAAAGGAAATAACATCAAAATAAATTGGGTAACATTGTCAAAGAAACAAATTATGTTTGATTAAACTAAGAAAAAGCTTGAAATGTCAATTCGAAATGAGCAAAAAGTTTTTATTGTTATGATGTAAATAGATGTATAATTGCATAAATTTAACATCTGTCATCAACAAGCAAAAAAATCCTTACTTTAAGAGGAAAAATTGGAAAAATATAATCTAAAAAATTAAAATTAAGGATGATAAAATGTTTAAATTATCATTGTAAATTTGAATATGAAAATTATTTGTTTCATCAATTGTATTTTGAGGAATACTATAAGAATTAAATCAAAATATCATCAAATACATATTTAAAATGAAAAATCGTTAAAAATTTATAGAAATTAGAAGTTTGGGAAAAAATATTTTAAATAAAAAATGAAAAAAATATTGTTTGAAAATATAATAGAATTGATTGAAAATTCGCTAGGAGCTTCTTTAAAAGGCAATCCTAAAAAGAATATTGAAAAAACATTGAAAAGAATTTTAAAAAAGGAAGAAAGTCACCTAACGAAAATGAGATGAATGACAGGGTGTTGCTAATTGGGAATTACTATAAAAGGAATGAATGTAAATTAATTCAAAGAGTAATTGAGGAAATCTAAATGTTGTTGAATTATTTGTGAATTTTGAAAATTTCAATTGATAGAATATAGAATCTCCAATTTGAAAAATTTAATTAGTTAATGATTTTAGTTAATTTATTATTAGGGCGTAAATGAAAAAAGCCGCCACTTTTGTTAACTTCTGAACGTTAGAATCTCACAATTTTGTTTATGATTTTATGAAAGTTACACTTCGTAACATTTACAATAATTTCAATTATTAGGGTTGTGGAATAAAGAAATGTATTTGAATTCGTTTTTAAAATCGAACACGATAATGGGTTAATAATTCAATTAATTTTTAAGTAAGAATTGGATTCGTAAATGTGTATCCTATTAAATATTTCTTTTTGACCTGAATGGTTGAATTTTCAAAGTTGTGTTCATCAAATTAAAATACGTTGATGATTACATTGATCAAGGATGGTTATGTTGATCAAATAAAAATTTGATTGAAACAAGAGTAGGTGCCAAAAGTGCTTACTCTTAAACAACCGTCGGATTTCCGGGTGAAATCGTGACACACTTTCGTCTTTCGTAGGCAGTGGTGGTTGTTACAAAAGGTAACTTCGAATGTAGCGTGAAATCTGCAAAAAAAATTCTGAAATTTAAATGGAGAACACAAAAATTGAATAGTTTACGTCAATAAAAAAGAGAAAAATGAAGCCAATGGGTCTCAAACCTAGGACTTATAGCAGCAATCCCACTGTTTATAACATTACACTACATGCATCTCTCACCTCAGTGAATGAGATCAACTATATGATAACTTTTTCCCCATTATATTCTTGTGGAAAAGTGACAAATAGCAACTTTGACCCTCTCTCATTGAAACAATAAATTCTATTCAAGATTTTGAAAATCGTTAATAATAGATCATATCCATAATTATAATCTTTCATATTTCTTACAAATAAAAATTCCAATAGAAACAATAACAAATATAAAAAAACAAAGATTCAATTAATTTTGAAAGACATAAAAATCAGCAGTTAATGTTAATTATAATTGTCCCTTAGGTGGTGTAATGTTTAAGTTAACTCTGGAATGTAAGTGATGACAATTTTGATATCAATTTCACAAACATACCCTAATTCATCGGAGCAATTCTAAAATTATTTATTTTTAGCAGAAGTCGAGCAAAAATCACTTAAAAACATCTTCGATAATTTTTTCTTTGAATATCAGCCCAAATTACGATAAGATTGAATTCTTTACAAGCAAAATTGAATTTTTTGTGAACTTCATAGAGTTTATTTTAAATAAATACTATAAACATAAAAATTCAACATTTGGCTAAAAGTCACTTTTATGATAAATCATATATTTAAAATAACCTATTGTGTCTACTTTATAATCACCAAATTTCTTTCAAAAAATAACCCCTTCAAATTTGTATTCTGTGGTTTTGAGAGCATATCAAAATACATACAAGATTCTAATCAAAATGACATTAAAATAAAAAAAATTAAAAACATTAATGTTTTGGTAGTATTTTGAATTTTGAGAATATGAAATTGAAAAATTTACATAAATAATATTCATGAAAAGTGTTGATTTAATTTACAGTTCCTTTAAGCAACTCTTTGGAGTTGAAGTATCAGAAATGACTACAGTTGGTGACACTATTCCGATTCCTAAATTTCAAGAATCAACACTCAAAGATTTAATAAATGAAGCGCTTAAGACTTACTCTAAGCCTACACCCGTTGTTAATATAAATGACAATGTTGTAATAGTTGGCGATTTACATGGAAATTTACATGACCTGCTTCGCATTATTAAAAAATGTGGACAACCAAATACTCAAAAGTATGTTTTTCTAGGTGATTATGTTGATAGAGGTCAATATTCTTTAGAAGTGATAGTACTTCTTCTTACATTTCGAGTACTTTATCCAAATTCAGTGACATTATTAAGAGGAAATCACGAAGTTGCAGAAATCAACGTTAAATATGGCTTTCACTTAAATGTTGCTTCAATGTATGGTCAATCTATTCTTTGGGATCTTTTCAATGATGTTTTCGCCCTTTTTCCATTTGTTGCCATTGTTCAGAAAGACATTTTCTGTGTTCATGGTGGCATTTCTCAACATGCTAAATTTTTAATCGATATTAAGTCCATACAAGTCCCTACTCTTGAATCCTGTGATATAGTGAATGACCTACTATGGTCAGATCCTGTAGATTCCGAAGAAAAATTTGCACCAAATAATAGAGGATTAAGATGTCAATTTAATGCAGAAGCAACTAAAGAGTTTCTACAATTAAACAATTTTAGTTGCATTATTCGAGGGCATCAATGCGTTTTTAACGGTATAGAGTGCAAACACGGAGATGATGTAATTACGGTTTTTAGCTCCTCAAACTATTCAGATTACAAGAATAAATGCGGATATCTAATATTGAACGACAAGATCTGCTATGAAGCATTCTATCCAGCCGATTTTGTAAAAAGACAAGATGCTGTTTTCTTCGATGTCATTCCTTGCGGAACTTTTGATATCAGAAGAAATTCAATATCCAACATTTCCGTAAATTCTTGGAGATTCCCGAAAATACGATCTGGACACTCCGTTATAAAAGAGAAAACAAGACCAATACATGTAACACCTACAATTCCTATACTTCAGAATACGATATAGTTATTTATCAGCTTTTAGCTATTGTTTGTATATAAATAATTTGTCATTATGTTAGCAATTAAGATTTCGTTGCTTATAAGTTGAAATTTTCCGAGATATTTTTTAGGAAAATGTAATAAAAAGAAAAACAATTGAAGCGATATGATAAAGTGCTTGAATAATTGTTTGGCTTTCATGTTCTCGATTTTTTTCATCTATCCAATGTGTAATTATTGCATAGGGATGCGACGGTTTTACGCCATGACCGTTTAAAAATAGAATAATACGCCATTTTTGGGGCCGAATGGCGGGTACGAAGTAGCCGCCATTCGGCCGAATAACAAAACAATACAAAATTATCGCCGTCCTTTTTTTTTCTTTCTTTCTTTCTCTTTTTTTTTCCTCTCTCTCTCTTTCTTTTCTCTTTCCTCTTTTTACTCCTCTTTCTCTTTTCATCATTAAACGTAGAAAGATATATTAATATTATTTTAAAATTAAAAAAAATAAAGAAAGTATAATAAGTAATTATTTAGTTATCGATATATATATGTAAAGTGATAATCTGAGGATAATCTGAGGAGGAGTCTGAGGATTAGACCGAGGAGTAGTTTGAGGATAATCTGAGGAGTTTGAGGATAATCTGAGGAGTTTGAGGAGTAGTCTGAGGAGTTTGAGGAGTAGTCTGAGGAGTTTGAGGAGTAGTCTGAGGAGTTTGAGGATAATCTGAGGAGTTTGAGGATAATCTGAGGAGTTGTCTGAGGAGTAGTTTCAGGAGTTGTCTGAGGATAATTTGAGGAGTCTGAGGATAATCTGAGGAGTTTGAGGATAATCTGAGGAGGAGTCTGAGGATTAGACCGAGGAGTAGTCTGAGGAGTTTGAGGATAATCTGAGGAGGAGTTTGAGGAGTAGTTTGAGGATAATCTGAGGAGGAGTCTGAGGATAATCTGAGGAGTAGTTTCAGGAGTAGTCTGAGGACTAGTCTGAGGATAAGCTGAGGAGGAGTTTGAGGATAATCTGAGGAGGGTCTGAGGATAATCTGAGGAGGAGTCTGAGGATAATCTGAGGAGTAGTTTCAGGAGTAGTCTGAGGATAATCTGAGGAGGAGTTTGAGGATAATCTGAGGAGGGGTCTGAGGATAATCTGAGGAGGAGTCTGAGGATAATCTGAGGAGGAGTCTGAGGATAATCTGAGGAGGGGTCTGAGGATAATCTGAGGAGGAGTCTGAGGACTAGTCTTAGGACTAGTCTGATGAGGAGGACTCTAAGGAGTAGTCTGAAGAGTAGTCTCAGGAGGAAGATCTGAGGAGGAGTCTTATGAGGAAGATCTGAGGAGTAGTCTGATGAGGAGGGGTCTAAGGAGTAGTCTGAGAATGATGAGTAATCTGATAAGGAGTAGTCTGAGGATGATCTGAGGATAACCTGATGACTAGTCTAGGAGTGGTCTAATAAAAATGTAAAATATTTTCAAAGAAAAAATTCTATGAATTTTATATTTTAATTCTTAGCATTATACTGAATAAAATAAACATAAATATCAAAATTTGAAATTGAACACGCCAAAAAATTGATAATCCGCATTCAATATTTTGTAAGTGGCGTACTTTTTGAATACTCGCCATACGCCTTGGAGTTCTCAATTTTGAATTCGCCTTTATTTGGGCGACCTCAGAAAAATGCGCCATTAAGAAAATATTGTATGAGATTTTAAATTTGAACACGCTCTACCTTAAGGAATTAAATTTATTAAGATATATTTATATATAATAAACGATTACTTAAAAAAAAGTATTTCATCGCTTATGTAAGTTTCAAAAAAATCACGAAAATAAAAAAATCAAGATTAAAATTTTATTTTTAATTTTTGAATTTCTCAAATGGCGAAATTTTTGGGCGAACAAAAAAAATGTACGCCCGGTCAAATGGCGTGTTTAACGCATCCCTAATTATTGCAAAAGTGTAAAATTAGGAAAAGAAAATCCGTAATTTATATAAAAATTAAAACAATAATATTTTACATAACAAGTGATTGAGGATGAGTCAGATTAACATCTGGCGGTTTCGCGTAATAAAGAGTGATAAACTTTCCTGAAATTGTTTGGAGACTATTTGCACCGATAAACTCTGTAGCAGCATCTATTGAAGGGAATTTCAAGAAGTTTGAAGACAAAATATACTCGGCTCCGGAAGATTCAGCAAATTGTTTGAGATTAAAGGACTTTGGACGAACTCCCACGTATATTGATGGATTCCACATCTCAAGGAATACCGGGAGATCTGGGTCGTCTTGCTCTGCGTTGTATTCTTGGTAGTCAACTTGATTTTTCGATTCATTTGTCTCAGGATGGACATCTCTTCGCGTGGAAAGGTCAACATCGATCTTCTTGCCGTTGAATGTCATTGAATTCAAGTTTGTTAAAGCTAATCTAGCATAGAAAGCGTTTCTCATCTGAATATGAGTTGTACATTCGTTTTGCTTAAGAATAACTTTAACTTTGAGGACAATTCCGTATTGCTGGAATATGTTGCGTGCAAAGCTGGCTTTTCTTGGTGGAAGTCCTGTTGTTGTTAACGAATTTCCGTAAGCTGGATCAAATTGGACCGGACGGACAAAGTCAAATGATTTTGGTATATCTGGCGACGGTTCTGGTTCAAAGAATGGTATTTCATTTGTTAAACCTTCTTTGACCAATTCAAATTGTTCTTTTGCTCCCGGCAAAGTGAAATCAAAGCTCTTTGAGTTGTTGAATTGTATAACTATATTTGCATTTTTGGAATATTGGACACGTAACTCAAATGAAGGTGCGTATCGATTTGGAATTGTAAGGTTAGCCAAAACTAGCGCTGCTTGTTCCACAGTCTGCATTTGTACAAGTGCGAATTTGCCTTGTTTTTCAAAACAGATGATTTTTTCGACAATGCCAAAATGAGAGCATTCGTCATATATATCATGGATTCCCAAATAGCATCGCAAACGTATGACTTGGATACATATAACCTGAGATCTGACTGACTTTCTCTGTGATGGGCTGGGAGCAACGATTGATGGAATGGGAGATATAGTTACAGTCGCACGAAGCTCAGGAATGTAATATTTTTTGTCATTAACAAACCTAATTGCTTCGTCAGCAGTCGAGAATTGAACTATACCTTGGGTTCCGAAGAAATGGTAACGCTCTATTCGATAATGTTTGAAATATTTTGACACATTAGCCCACTGCGTGCCGGGTTCTAGATCTATGATGCCAACAAGACGATGATCCCTGGATTGTCCCGGAGGATAATTCCATGGCATCGCGATAATCCTTGACATCGCAATTGAGAGACAACCGGGTTTCCCTCAAAAAAAAATCTATCAATAAACAATGAAATGTATTAACTATGATTCATTGATCATAGATGAATATAATTGTTTTGGATTCAAGTGTTCGATACGAGGGAAGACCAAAATTTTTGTTACGGGCGTGACCAAAACCAAAATTTCACCAAAAGTGACGCTTTTTTGAGAAAAATCATTATCTGGGACTTCTATGTATACCACTCATCAGAGCATACTCCATACTATCATACTTTATCTTGATGATGAAGTCTGAAGATTATATAAAAATTGATTATTGATTATTATATAAATATTATGCAATTCTTCAATATGTTGTATAGATTAGTACACTTATTGCAAATCTATCCTGTATTAATGATTAAATTTGTTCATTTAAGTATAATATATTTCATTTCCACCAAAAATGCTTTTTTATTGTGTAATAGTATACAAATAGATAAATATTATATATTAAAACTCATTTATATTGTGATAACGCCTTAAATGCTTATAAATTGTATTGAATATCAAAGTTATGGAATGAAATAGTCTATTAGTTAGATTAGAACGGGAATAAATATATTTATAGTTAAGCATTAGATATTCTAATGTAATTATTCCAAAATGTCTCAATTACAAAAAAAATAAATATTATTACCTAAAAAGTATTGTTTATTCAGCAAACAATGTAAAAATAAAACTATATTATAATTTTGGAAATAATAAGGATATACATCCAAATTTAATAATCTTGCCTTTTTATATCAACGTAATCAAAGTATGATCTATGCAATTTGTATTTTACCTTTGTATGTAAATTGAAAAAACGCATTTAAAATCGAATCTGTTCAATTTGAGTGATTTCTATGATATATTTATATGAATTCGAATTAAATGGAAATATAATTCGTAGTTGCTAGTACTTGAAATTACAATTGCCTATAGATTTATTGTTCTTTGTGTTAATAAAGTATTGAATTTGAAAAATAAATCGATTATTGTATAATATCTTATGTCATTGATGGTAAATCTCCATGTATGTGGAATTTCCGATGAAATTATTAGTTTAATCGAATGATATAAGTTTCAAGGTTTGCGATTTTATATGATTTAAGGCTTCATTCAATGGATTACAATAAGGAACATTCACCTTATTCAAAATTCCGTTTGAAAATCTATTATGTGCATGTTTGTTAAAATGTGTGATGTTCATTATAACAAACAACACAATCTTATGGAAATTTTCCCCGATAATTACGTTATTTATAGTTTAGATTTTCATATACTTTGTTATTTATGCTTAGTATCGTATCTAAGGTAGTCACAAAATCTAAGTAGAAGGGCTTTGAAATATTGAGAGGATTTGAAATTTTGGCTCTCAAAATTTACCCTTCCTCACTACTCGAATTCCGAGCCTCTCAATGAGTTTCCTCTCAATTTTGAACGGTTTATATTGACTTTTGAATACCTTTATTGAGAACAAAAAAATAAATATATTAAGATTCGTATAATATTGGCATTTTTCATAAAATGAAGGCCTAAAAAACAGGGCCATTCAAAAAATGAATTGTTTTGGGGAGTAGTGGATCTAGCATCTGTGTAACAAATAATAAAGATTGGCCGTAAAAATTAGGCCTAATCTCTTTTTGGTAAAATTTTGGAAATTGATATCTCTTTATATTCGTCTGTCGTGAGGTACAGATAACAAGATGATGGAGTAAATGTTTTTGACATATTCACTTTTCACCATATTGGCCGAAATTAAGTATATTGTTGCTAATTTTTTGTTTTTTACCTTGTTTTTAGGGGCACTACTATTTATTCATCTTTGTATCATTTTTGTTGAGCTCGTATTGAAAAACAATCAATGAAATCCATGTTTTCATTTGAAATCTGATAAAGTTAAACGTGCATATAAGTTTCTCGCTGATATCACTCAATTGCAAATTCATATATATGCAATTCAAAAAAATGAGAAAAATTTCGGATTGTTCAAATTGAAGGATATAATTTTTTTTCTTTAGCCAATAAATCAATGTATTATATTGCATTCATTATCCAATGAGTAGTTACACATAATATTAGCATATAACACTCTTGCTGTTTACAAATACAAATTTTGATTTGATTATTTTGTTTAAAGCTATTCTATTTATAGTGATCTCTTATATAACATGTTGTATAAAATATCTATATTACTATTATTGTATTTCATGAATCTTTTTTCATTAATAAAATTTTATTGGAAAAATTTCAACTTTTCATTAATCTAAATTGACATCTGTGATGCTTCCTATTCTGTTACAACTATTAAAGTTTACATTTAAATTTGAATTCAAAATTTCAAAAATTTTTAAATTGATCAATACAATGATTTTAATAATATATATTTGTTTGTGCTTTTAAATTTCTTAAGCTTTCAAAATTTAAGAGAATTGATAACTTAATACAATATGATCTTAATGATATACTAATTAATAATTCGCAAAATGTAAAAAAGTCTTCTCAAAACTAAATTCAATGCCTTTCAATCGAGATTTTGAGGCAACTTTAATACTGTGATATAACAAATTATGATAATTGAATAGAGGAATTCCCAATTTGATAGTGAAAATGCAATAATAGATTAATAAGGATTAAAATAAGACAGACAAAAATCTCCAAAAATATTTGAAATTTTAAGATTTAATATGAAATTTGAAAAAATTTACATCAAATTGAAGAAAATAAAAAAAATTTGGAAAAATTATATCAGTGAATATACATTATTTTTAGTAATTCATTAGAATTGCTTTCAAATTCATCATAAATTCTGCATTATTAATATTGATGAAATAATACTTTGAATTTTCTTAGGGGTCACACCAAAACATATAAGTATATGGTTTTCTAAATCTACATATGAGATCAATATTTCATAAACTAGTTTTATATCTAAATTATTTTTGCAAAAAAGATAAAATATGTAGCTTTATTCATTTATATACTAATATAATTTGAAATCCAGAAATAAAATGGCAAAATAATCAATTTGAAATGACAATATTTGAATAATATGAATAAAATCAATTTTATTGATCATGAATAAAATACACTTACACAATAAAGCTAAAGGCACATCTTTGGATGCCTTTTATCGATGATTTTGAATGAGATTCTTCAATTTCATGAACCAAAGAGAATTATTCTAAACCTCAATGACATTTTTGTATGTTTATTAGATAAAGTCCAATGTTCGATCTATTAATCAATCAAATAGCATTTTCACACAAAGAAATTGCTTATTTATCATAAAATTTAGATTTCAACTCATTTTCACAATATGATTGAGCTTTCATACAATATACAAACAAAGTGCTATATAGAAATCCACTATTTTATACTTTAACGCAGATATTCAATTCAATGAGCTTCATGAATCATATTTTAACCAAAGATAGTTATACAAATATGACATATTTATATAGTAATATCATTGATAGAATATCTACATAATTTTATTCTAATATGAATAATTTATTTCTGAATTTCTTCCAATTTTTATTTTCTGTTTATATGTTGCTTCATAGTTTCAATGTTATTGATAATTACAGTTTAAACTCCTTCCAAACACATTTTATTTTTTAAATCATAATATTAACCATCATTTTTGGAAATTTGCAGGCGAAAATGAAACAATTTACTAGAATGGATTCATTATATATGTATTCTATATGAGCAAAGGTATATGTTCATCAATATTATATTTGATATATTGAATACGATTCATAATACTTCATTTTTAAGATTTCACAGCTAAATCTACTTCAGTTGATACTATAGTATGTTGAGGCAATTATAAACGATTTGAAACGCTCATATTCAATGAGAATCATCCTATTTAATTGCATAAATTTTATTAACATATGTGTTTGATAGCATAATATGATAGAGTATATGCTAGGCCATATAATTCCAAAGTTGAAAGACATGATGATTAGTATTGGAGGATTTTCAAGCTAAACTACGATTTTGACACGTAAATTTTGTCAGAAATAGTGAAATTTTGGTCTTGGTCGCGCCCGTAACAAAAATTTTGGTCTTCCCTCGTTCGATACAAATGAGCAGCTAAAAAATCATGATAAGAAGGATATTAATTCGTCAAGATTTAGAGGACATAGCAATGGATAGAAAAAATTATGCGGTAAAGCAACATGTTATTCAGGAAACAGGTATGATGATATATTAAACATATATATTAATTTATAACCTGAAAATAGTTAACTACTTATTTAAAAATGGACATCTTTTAATAATACGAATCTTTCTTTAATAATTCTATATCCAAATATGAAAGCATTTTAGTTAATATATATTTAGTTGAAATCTATAGCATTTTCTTGTATTATTATAATATAGTTAAATGCTCATACCCAGCAGATTTTAAATTAAATGAGAATGTGTAACATTGAATCATGTGTTATTAATAAGCAAAATATGCAAAATGAAACGCGTTCATAGCAATACTATGGATTTATAAGTTTAATTATTAAAAGAAAATATGTGTAATATTTTCATTAGTTTCCACTTCGTAATCAAAATAAAAATATGATATAAACGTCACTTTTTATTAATAATAGAAGACTTATCTAAGTGAATCTATTATTAGTGTAGCCTAGAGACAACAACTAAAAGAAAAGTTTGTTGATGATGAAATCAGAGCGGAAAAAAGAAAGCAAATGTGCGCTCTTTTGACCGCAATTAGATGAGCTTAACCCGAGTGCTTATCAGACGAAACAGACGAATCAAGAAATAGATGAGAACGATTAGAGGATTTGATTGAAAGTTTAGGAGATTAGTTTTTTTCCGAAAAAATTTTTCTTTTATATCCTCAAAAATATTATTCATGACTATATTCTTATTCAAGATTTTTGTTAACAAATGCACATAATTACCTATAATAGATCAAATTTTTTTATTCCGATCAATAATTACATTTACTATCTGGTTATTAGGAATTTGAATGAATTTTCATTTATTGGAGGCATAAGCATGTTTATTGGATAATGATTAGAGTAAGCATTTTGAACGATAGATTACTAATCAACTTGCTGATCCTATGAGCGCGAAATCTTATATGTTCTTATGATGCTCTTCAATGATATTTGAAACTGGTAAATAGAGCATGTCTTTAAACAAAATTTGAAATTAATCTCAAAGGAAAATTAATCATGTAAAGGATGTGTTAATTCATTATGCTTTAATTAGGTTCTACAATGTTTACATAACTCTAATGCGCTTTTGATTGGATAATCGAATGCCAAATCTCAAAAAATGAATGTAAATGATGTAAAGATTCAATCATCCATACAATATTTGCACGACATATGTGAAGTAAAATAAATCAACAACTCTACAGTTAATGTTTCAGATCAAGAACTAATTGTTTTCTTTAACTGCAGGGGCGTGTCACATTTATAAATTTCAATTCAATTTTTCAATTAAAGATAAATTTTAGAAAAATATATCTAATTCAAAACATTTTTAATAGTCTAAAAATTTTATTCTCAGAATTAATGAACGATAAGAAAAGTCAAATTCACTCAAATTATTGTCAAATCTAAACTGAAATTAACAAAATTTGCATTGAAAAATTTTGTATGCAATATATCTTGTGATGAATAAGAATAATGCTAAAAATTAAATTGTATTCATTGAAAAATGTGACATAATTTTAAGAAAGTTAGGGTCAGTTTGAGCGCAGTCTATTTTATATATCATTATCTAAAGATTTCTTCAATTTGGATAAACCGGAACTTCTCAAAAATTGACAAAAGTGACGAATAAATTTTGTTTTGGATTTGTTCAGTTAAATGATGAATGAATCGCGTCTTGTTCCTTCAGATTCCTATGAAGACCAGACGCCAAAATCCGAACAGAACGAATCACTTGACTTCTTTGATGTAGATCAAGACACGTATCCCAGAGCTTTCAACGTATTGCAACAACAATCTGTAAATCTCTCTGATATAAAATCAAATATACATAGCATTAAAGACGGCTTATCCGAGAAAGAACTGCAACAACTTCAATATTTAGAATATCTCATACAAAGTTTAGAGAACAGCGATTTTGGATCTGTTTTCTTATGTGCAACAAATACGATTCCAACGCTTCAGAACGTAGTTTCATCATCACCAACGAATGCCCCTCTTTGCCAAGTCGCTTCTTCCCTTTTGTCGATTGTCTTAAAATTGTCTCGTATTTTCTCTTTTGTCAGCTGCACTCTTCCTACATCTGTCAGCCAGTCTGTCGAGCGATCCAAAGCTCCTCAGAATAACCCGGAAGAAGAAAATTCGCAACCAGACGAAATGATGGTTTTATGTCGAATTTGCGAAGAATATGTACCAATAGATCTTATCGAGGAGCACTCGAAGAGTTGCGTTATTGCATACGAATCCGAGTTTAACTTGATTACGACCGATGAACGAATTAAAAAACTTCAAAAAGCGATAAGAAATTCAATTTTAAACGAAAAATGGCCAGGTGCACCATCGAAAACCATAAACGTTCTCCTCCCGATGCTTCATGTTACGATGTTGCTGGATGTTGCAACGTCAAATTCAGACCAATTATCTCATGCCGCCGATGCCATTTTTAAAATGGAAATTCCAGATGCGACACCGAATGTGACTTCTTTCCTTGCAAAAGCAAAGGAATTGATGCAAGAAAAAATCCGTGCAAACGCTACTTACACGCAAGCCCTTCAGAACTCGGCAAAGACACGCTGTAACGGTACCTTCGCAGGAGCTCAATCCTTACAAACAACGATCGCTGATTTTACCTTTATAAGAAAAATTTCGAGTGGAGCATTTGCCAAAGTTTTTCTAGCAATAAAGACACGTACAGGTGATATATACGCTATCAAAGTTACGCCTAAGAGCAGTTTGAAACAGAAAAACACATTTAAGAGAGTTTTAACAGAAAAAGATATTTTGTTACAGAATAGCAATCCATTCATCGTTGACTTCTATTATTCTATCATTGGTGACCATAACCTTTACTTGGTTATGGAATATTTACCTGGTGGTGACTTATATTCGCTTCTTAATAATATTGGCTCGCTTGATGAAACAGCAGCCAGAATTTATACAGCACAAATTGTTAAGGCTCTCGAGTACCTACATTCTCATGGAATAGTTCATAGAGATCTTAAACCTGACAATATTTTAATTAATATTTCGGGAAAACTCAAACTAACAGACTTCGGACTTTCGCTTTACGGTGCATATGATAGAGCTATACCAGACGATAGCAAAACCATTGTTGGAACTCCTGATTATTTAGCTCCCGAAATTATTTTATCATCAAAGCACAGTTTTACAGCTGACTATTGGTCTCTCGGGTGTGTTATCTACGAATTCCTTACTGGAGCTCCTCCATTCCACATGGAAACTGAAATGGAAACTTTTGCCCAAATTTTGACAGGAAGATTTGATATAGATCCCCTTGAAGACATGAGTGATGAAGTCATTGATCTAATCAAGCATCTTCTTCAAGTTGATCCCGAAAAAAGACTCGGATTCAATGGAATCAAAGAAATTATGGATCATCCATGGTTTGCTGGTCTTGACTGGGATGCCATTGATGATCTGGAACCTGTTTTCGTACCAGAACCTAAAGACAAATACAGCGTTGACTACTTTACAGAAAGATACAATTTTGAGAAGGATGATGAGATAGAAAATGACATTTTGGATGACATAGAGCGTGCAAAGACCCAGACCCCCCACTCTGTATCAATGACAGATCTCAGTTCTCGAAATTCCTTCGCATCCAGATTGGAATTCAGCTCAGAAGAAGACTCCCTCGACAGCGATGAAGATATGGCCAGTTTCCCTTCGATTGCACTACAGAATCTGTCCAGAAAGGCCACAGAATTCCCTCTGGCCCCCGTACATCGAAGGGCAAGCTCAGTAGACAAGCGGGCAAGCTTCGGAGTGATAAGTAGCGTTCCTTCAGCCCCACAGGATCTGACGCTATCAAAGAGTTTCGCGTCTAAAGTTGGCAGCGCATCAATAATTGAATTGGAAAAATAGTGTTTTTGTTTTTTTTAATTGTAATTTCTTCTTTTTATATGTATAAAATGTTCTATCTTACATGAATCCCTTTTTTATGACTGGATTTAACCCACATGCTCAAGAAATTTGGTTAAATATGTATTATACTTGTACTGGTCTTGCCAATTTTTTTTTTGATTTTGACAATTTGTCAGGTCAAAAAATTTGTCTAAAATGATTTTGTTCTTTTTTATTGCTCATGCATTCATGGAATCACGTGGAAGCAGAAAGCGAAGGTCCGGTCACATTGGATCAGGATCTTTAGGAAAAAATCACAGACATCACGAAAATAAACACTCTCAATGGGAGTTTGATGAACCACTCGACCACCCAGATTTACCAGAAATGGACGAACCATTAACAATTGAAGATAACCCTCTCACCGATCCTCAAACCAAACAAGATGATAAAAATGCAGATCCATTTCCACACACTTTTTTACTTCCAAATCAAACAAGAGCCTGTGAGGAAGGTTATTCATCAGGTCGCGTGATTGATGAAAGAGGCTGTTGGATGTGTTTTGGGTGCCAAACAAACGAAATTTGCAAGTTTCCAGATATTTGCGAAAAGGCATCACCAACAATCAAGAAGGCTTCGGTTAGCAAAGGGCAGGTTATTATTGAATATTTTGTTGATTCAAATCACTTTAATCCGGATATTGCTTACTGTAAGCTCGGAGAAAATAAAACAACAGCAGTCAAAGTGACTTCATCAATAGTTATATGCAATACTCCAAAGAAGAGAGTCCCTACTTTACAAATTTCGTTTGACGACGAAAATTACTCACCAGCTTTCTTATATCCCCGCCAAATAATTGACTTTGACGCTCTAAATGAAAAATTTAATGGAATTCCCATAGATAGATTTCTCTTAATTGTTGCAATTTTCGGAATCTTATTATACGTTGGAATCCAATGCTGGAATCGTCCTCGGCGATACCACAAACTGCCAGTATACATGGAAGTGAAACCAATTGCCCACTTCCCTCAAGTTGACAACGAAGATCCTGAAGTTCCCTACTCAAAAATGAATGTGAAATTCTAATTCGTATATAAATATTGTCTATCAATTACAATTACACACTTACTTTTTTTTAACAAACAAACAATTTTTATTTTCTAATTATATTCATTCAAAGTTTCTTTTGTCAGTAATCAGTTTTTGCGTGAGATGTGGAAGGTTAGTAATTTTCTTCTGCAAAGCATTATCTCTTATTTCGACGAATTTTGAAATAAATTTTATGCAAGATCTTCTCACATTGATATTTGATGATGAGAGGTTCTTTATTGCATTATCTAGAAGTTTCCCACAGTTTGCATCAACAGTAATATTGTTATTTTCCATCACCATCAGTGCAATTTCAATTCCTTCTTCGTTTTCTGAGAGAGAAACAACATCGGAAATATCTTTGACAAGGTTGCAAAGGGCCGAAAAGCACCTTGCTCCAATGACACTAACGAATTCCCTCGAGCAGATCTTTCCGAGCTCCAAAATGAGGTTTGGCATCCTCATATCGCCAGCTACCTGGCCAATGTCCACCAAGAACGATGTCACGTTGTCCAGTTTCGTGTTATCCCTCAGCAACTGGATGATTTCATTCTCTGCTGCGACCACTGCACCAGCAATAACTTTAGGTGGTTCTTCTATTGCGGATAAGTCGAACTCGTTGTAGTTCCTGGCAGAGATGAATTTTGTAAGTGATTGGAACCCAAAGAAGGAGAAATCCGATGAATAAATGGCATTCTCAACCAACTCTAAACCATCGCATTTCACACCATCGTTTATGATCTTCTTGACTTGATTGACCGCGTGTTCAGGAATTTTTTTGAGTAGACTGGCTGCAATCAAGCTGGAGAGTACCATTATCACACTTTGCGGATTGTCTTCTCCAGCAATTATCACATCGTTGACAACTGATTCGATACCGTAAATATCAACAAACGCTTTCAGAGTTCTTGGTGGAGCCCTGGTAGCGATTAAGACTTCACCAATACTTCCGCGGAATTCGTTCTTAAACAGAGCAAGCAAAGGAGGTATTACAGCATCCCATTGAGCGGAGATTCCGAAATTGCAGGCTGTGACAATCGAAGAAGGAAGGGCGAACTCGATGCCTTCGAGAATCTGCATGTTCCCTATAACAACAATGTTCGTGAGAATCTTCGCAAACTTCTCCGCAAACTCCTTCGTGTCAGGAGGCATGTATTCACTGAGATTTGCGCCATCTAAGAGAGAAGTGCCGTTCTGTTGAGTAACGGTGATGTTGCGCCTAGAAATCCGAGTAGGCGTAAGGGGTTGAACTGGCCGAGGACTGTTTCTGTTGCGGGAGGAACTGAAAATGCTGCGTTCAGGTGTTCTGGGAATTCTTGATGGAGATCTGGATCTGGGTTGATCAGATGGACTCTGAAGAGAGGAAAGAGGTGTCCCATTGATTTCTGAAAGCGCTTCACGGGCAGAATCCCTCACTTCTGCTGAAGGATCTTTTGTTAATTTTGTAATGTTGCTTTTAAGCTCCGAAATGAATTGATTGGTAAGAGTTTGAGGCCATTTATGTATTAAAAGAGTTACTGCCTGCGCTACAATTAATCTTCGCTCTTTGATTTTTGAAACTGTTTCTGCAAGTAAAGCTTTTGCTGTTCTTCTTAAGGGGACACATTCTGTAATAGCCAATATTGCGAATTTACAAGAATCTCCAATGAAAGATGATGCGTGATTTGATTGCTTAATTAAGCAAGAAATTGTAATATCAATACATGGAGAAAACTTTGTTTCGAGTAATTCTGCTGCTGAAACTAAGAACAATGTTGCTAATTTAACGAGTTTTGATTTTGCTTCGCTAATTGTTTTTGCAGTAGCTGTTACTAATGATACAATATCGAATTCATTGAATTGTAATGCTCCTCCTTTCAGTAGCTGTACTCCTCTTTGAAGAGCTGTACATTTATTTTCCCAATCAGTTCCAGTCAAGGCGTCCAAAATCTTTTCTTTCGCTTCATCTGCCTGCTCTGGAGATGTGACAATTTCTGCTGTGAATCCTTGCATCGGATCTATGTAAATATTACGGATTTCATTTGATTCATCTTCCCTAAAAGCTTTTTTCGACATAAAAAAAAAATAAATTAAAAATATTTTGCAAGCCGAATAGTTAAATTTTTTTAGTCAGTATGTTTAAGATTATACTTCTCACGAAGGAGGAGATCATCCTGGATAGCCTTGAGAACTTCCTCGAGATCCTTCTCAGCCTTTTGAAGGTTTTCAGCACCGAGTTCTATGTACCATTTAATTTTTGGTTCAGTGCCAGATGTACGGATTGTAGCCGTTGTGCCGTTGTCAAGATAGAAAGTGATCATTTGGCCGGACTGCTGTGGAAGAACAGTCTTATGATCCGAAGTACGAGAATCGTAGCCTGTTGTCATGTCTCTTACGCCTGTTACAGCGAATCGGCCGACCTTCTGGACGTACTTTCCATCTGGACCAGATGTCCTCATGTGAACAAAGACAGCCTTGATGATCTCTGGGTCATGGCACATGAAGTACGAATTGTTGAAGAGGTAGTAACCGTACTTAGCATAGATGTCATCAAGCTTGTCTGTAAGTGATTTGTTTTCGTGCCTCTTAAGATAGTGAGCCATTTCAAGTACAACAGCTGTTGTTGAAATAGCATCTTTATCTGGTGTGATATGTGGGACCATTTCGTAGCCAATAGCCTCTTCGAAAGCAAGGAGTGGAGTTACTCCTTCTTCGGCGGCCTTAAGAGCAGCATTTCCAAGCCACTTGAAGCCAGTAAGAGTTTCTTCATACTGGAAACCTTCAACTTCTGCCATTCTCTTCTGCATCTTTGTAGAAACTGTAGAGTTCATGAACTTAGCCTTTGAACGATCGCCCTTGAGGTGCTGAATGAACCACCAAGTAAGGAGGATGCCAGTATGATTGCCGTGAAGGATACGGAATGAGCCATCTTTCTGGCGGACAGCAACACCAACACGGTCAGCATCTGGATCCTGGCAGATGATAAGATCAGCACCAGTAAGGTTAGCACGAGCGATAGCATGGCGGAAGACTGGTTCTCCTTCTTCTGGGTTAGGGAAGGCAGCAGTTGGGAAGTCTCCATTACCTTCGCACTGCTCTGGAACTGGGATTGGGAGTGGAAGATTGAATGTGTGGAGAGCCCAGAGAGTTGGCTTATGGCCAACGCCGTGCATAGCAGAATAAACAACGCGAAGGCCTGATGGTTTGTTGTTTTCTTCGTAGTGGAAGCAAAGTTTCTCACGAATCATCTTGCTGTAGGCGGCACGGACATCGTCGAGTGGATCAATGCAAAGTGGTGAGTCAACAAATAGCGATTGATCAAATCCTTCCCACCTGATAAGGTTCTGCTGAATAGCTTTGCTGATTCCAGCATCATGTGGTTCAATAATCTGAGCACCATTGTCCCAGTAAACCTTGTAGCCATTATCCGTAGCAGGATTGTGAGAAGCAGTAACCATGACACCACCAGCAGCGTTGAGATAGCGGATACCGAATGCAACATATGGTGTTGGGATGATTGTAGAGAACAAGTAAACCTTGATTCCCTTCATTAAGAAGACAGAAGCTGTAATTTCGGCGTATTCACGAGAATATTTACGAGCGTCATAACCGATTACGATACCACGTTTCTGCATTGTTTCAAGGCCTAAAGTATCAATACTATACTTGCAATAACCTTGAGCTGTTTGAAGAATGAGACATGGGTTAATTTGGGAGTAACCTGGACCAGTACGACCACGGATGCCAGCTGTGCCGAAAGTAAGGCGGCTTCCAAAATACTTCTTTAATTCTTCCTCGTTATTAAGGGCGGCTTTGATTGTCTCTTTGAATTCTGGAATGCTTTCAACTGTGAGGTATTCCTCAGCAGCTTTACGAAGAGCAGACATTATTCGAAAATGAAATGATGAATAACTCTCAAAAATTCAATCCTAATTTTTTTTTTCTAAGGTGGCCATTTACTTCTCAATTTTCTGTCTTTTTAAAAATAGTCAAAGGGTTTTTTGAATAAAATTTTTAAGAACCGAATACAATTAAATAAAATGCTCCAAGAATATTATGGCTATAATATAATAAGAATAACGATAATTAGATATCCGACCATTATTTTCTGGAAAGCTCATGACATGTATTCAATTGAATTGAATGGAGAATGCGATAATAGGGCAGTATCGTCTTTGCGTAATTGGTTGCATCTTGTTTGTACTCCTTTTAAAAATTTTATCCCCATGTCAATTCCCCTTTTCACAAAATTCACACAGTTTTGGCTGCCCACTTACCTCCTCAAAAGTATTTTCCCTAAGAATTAACCTCTAGCTTAAATTTTTCTCATGATCAGAACTGCTAAACAGCATACATAAGAACAACGGAAGGATTTAGAATTTTATAGCATCCAAATTAAGTCTAAAATACTGAATTTTATGCTTGAATTATTTATTATCGTATTGTACATTTGTATTTTATAGGATCAATCAAAAGTTTTTGAATTATTCGAAAATTAAAAAAAAAATTGATTATTAAATACAACATTCTATGCCGGTTGTGGATCAAGTTGTAATTGTGTTTATGTTCAAGTATTAATTTTTTATTTTTTTGTGTGTGTGTTTATGTTCAAATTAATATAGTTGTCAAAAAAGTTTGTTGGGGAAAAAAACATACATTTTATTTTCGCTTAAAGAACTTTTGAGAAAAGTTCTCTGATTTTGGTTGAATAATTTTAAACATTTTATCTAAAGGATGATTTCCTGTATTTTGGTCAGATTTCTTGAGTTTTCGCTGTCTATTTTGATTCACAATGTTTTTCATTAAATTCAAGTCCATAATTCGATTTTGTTTTTGAATTTGATTATTGATTCCACGGCCTCCAATAGGGCTTAATGGAGTCCTCTGCTTATTCCTGCTGGGAAACATCATTTGTATCAGTGTTTGTCTGGAAACTCTTGACCGTCTCTGGTTTCTTCTCGATGGAGCTTTGTAGTTACTAATTACCCTGTAGAGAGGAGATTGATGTGGATCTGGAGGAGGAATGCCATTAGGATCAAAAGATACTTTCCTAGGATGTTCACTTCTTTTATGTGGAGGAATGCTATTCACTGAATAAAGGGGCGTTTCATCATCAGCTGGCGTTGTCAGGAATTTACTTCTTGGAGATAAGTCAAATTTATATATTTTGTTGTGAGATGGCTGCTCAAGTGTTTGAAGTGACGGAAGCTTCTTGTATTCTAAATCCTTTGTGAATTCAGTGTCAATCCTTCTGTTTGCCATTTCAATTTGGGACATTAGATCTGCAGCATCTGTGACAATATCATCTTCTGTTTCTAAATTTTCGTTATTTGGTGTTTCAGTTATTTCTTGCTCATGGAGAATTTCACTGTATCCCTTTTGGTATTGGCCAACAGAGTATCTCCTTTTTAATGTGTTATGATTCTGGATGTGCACAGCTTGACATGTATTTTCATTGTCAGGAATAAATCCATCGTACGTAATTCTTCTATTAATAAGTTGAATTGGTGTTCTTTCTTCGTAACTTTGATTCATTTCGGCTGCATTTTTGCCTTCTTGCCATTCAGAAGTATAATTTTGGCAAATTTTATTGGTTTGTTTATCAATTTGTGGAATATGATCGAATTTATTGGTTAAATTTTTGTTAGCTGAACTTTCTGGATATTTTCTAACTTGTTTTGGTTCAAACTCATAAGTAACATTTGAGTTTATTCCGCATTCTGAGATTTCATTTTGAGGAGAAAATGACATATATTTATTTTTATCAAATGCCTTTGTTTTTAGCATTTCTGTGTTATTTTGTGTTTCTTCAAAAGAATTTTCTTGAAAATTGTATGTAGATTGATTAGCTAGTTTGTTTTGTTTAAATTTTTTAAAACTTTGCATTGTATTTTCTACCTTTCTTTGATTAAAATTGAATTCATTACTTTGATTTCGTTCAATATTTTTATAAGTTTCATTTGCAATAATTTCTTTATTATTTTGAATTTCTCCTTGAGAATTGTAGTCACAATTCTGATTTTTATTTCGACTTAATTGTGTAATGTTTTGTAAAGTTGTTTCGCCTGTTTTGTGAAAATTTACTTTAGAGTAACTAAGGGTTATTTCACTGTCTTGATCAATCAGTTCATCTTTTAATTGATCATTTGTTAATTCTTTGTCTTGATCATTTGTTAATTCTTTGTCTTGATCAATCAGTTCATCTTTTAATTGATCATTTGTTAATTCTTTGTCTTGATCATTTGTTAATTCTTTGTCTTGATCATTTGTTAATTCTTTGTCTTGATCATTTGTTAATTCTTTGTCTTGATCATTTGTTAATTCTTTGTCTTGATCATTTGTTAATTCTTTGTCTTGATCATTTGTTAATTCTTTGTCTTGATCATTTGTTAATTCTTTAAATTGATTTGTTTTTCCTTTATTTTGTTGATTTTTTTCATATATTTGATACTTGTTTTCAAAATTTACATTGTTTATTTGGGAATCTGAAATCTCAATTAATTGTTCATCGAATTTTTGTATAAATTTATGCTGACCATTATCTGAGCAAATTGTTTGCATGAAAGATTTATTTCTCTTTGTTCTTGGGCTTTGCATGTTGCTACTTAAAGATGGTGTTTGGACATGATGGCACTCAGATGAAGTCTGAAATAAGACTTTCTTTTCATCTGATTTTTGGGATGAAACTTCTGTTGTGAAGAAATTCGATTTTTGGTCATCTTCAGTTAAGCAAGAATCATTTGTTTGGTTAGACAACACTAAGTTAATTGGCTGTGATCTGGATCCTTTAACTTTATCAAGTTTCCCTTCAGAAGGAATATCTTTAGATGAAAGCAAATGATGAAGAATTCCCTTTAACTGCTTTCTTGACTCGAATTTCATTGAAATTTTCTCCTCTGTTTGTTTTCTCTTTTCCTCTTCCTCGACCTTCAACTTCTTCTTTATTGCATCCTTGTTATTTGTTTGCTCCTTAAGCTTTTCTTTGAATCCTTTGTTCTCTATAGCCGTAATCTCATTCAATATTTGATTTCTGTCAGTTTCATTGTAGTTTTTCACTTTCTCAGACCTCTGTGTCTTTCGTGATTGCTTTCGACTGATTTTGTTTAGAATTCTCTGCTCTCTTCTAGAAACAGAATTTGTTAACTGCAAATATAAGTTTGGATAGAACTCTAATGCATGGAAAATCATCACATATTTTCCAATACTAATAAGTATATCAAATTTGGAATTTAGCAAATAAATCGAATTTATTTCGAAAGGAGATTGTAGTCTGCCGATTAGTTGGGATGGTTTTCCGAAAATCACCATGTTTTCTGATGTGTAGCAAACAAAAGATTCCTTTAGCAGTGACACTCCTTTGATTTTATCTGAAATGGGAAATTCCAAACAAAGATCAAAATCTGTTTGTAAATTAAAGATCTGAACCTTTTCATTGTTAGCAAGGAATAAATATGAACCTTCGAACTCAGCTAGATATATATCTTTTTCTGGAATATCTCTGATTACGCTCATTAAAGTGGGATCAAAAACAGTTAAACAGTTTTGGAAAGCTAGCCACAATCTATTTGTACTGTAATGATAATGGATACTAATTACATCTGTATATTTTAATTTCGATCTACTCATTTGTTCCAAATTTTCATATTTATAAGAAAGCAAATCTCCTTTCTTTGATACGCAGTATATACAAGGAATGTCTTTGTATATTCCAATACACATAGCTTTCGTTGGAACTGGTAAATTGCTCAAATGAATAAATTCAGCTTCGTCTATGGATTGATATTGTTCGATGGTATAATTGTCTCTGAAAATGAAGAGTTTTTCAGTCATTGTTTCAAAACTCAGAATATCGGATGTTCCGGTGGAATAAAATTGATCATTTTCATAAGCTACACCTCTATCATAGATGATGTTGATAATCTGATCTCGTCCAGATATTCCCATCGAAGAAGTTACTTTCGCTGTATCAGGGTTAGCAAATGTCAGAAATAAATTTTCATGGAGAAAGCAAATCTTTGGTGACGTCTGAGAAGAGATCTGAAGTTTAATCAAATTAATGGATGATGTAAAACCTTTCCATAAAATCCAAGGAATGTTGATAGCAAATGAATAAAATTTTGTATTAGACATCAAAACTAGGTGTTTGAGATCTTTGTTATATGAAATTGCTTCATATTTCTCTTTTAATGTGTAAACTTTCAAAAAGTTTAGTGTCTTTATGTCTAAAATGTATATTTCAAAATCTGTCAATAGTAAAATAAATTGGTTTGAAATAAACTCTAAATAATTAAATATAACTCCTGGTAAAGATATTGATTTTGCTATCTGTAGTATTCTATTGTAAATATTTATTGATCCATCTGGATTTAAAATTGCAAGTTTCTTAAATGGTTCTCTTTGAACAGTACTCTTTACGAAGTTTTTGGGTTTGCATATGAAGCATGATGATGATTTGGCAAAATTCAGAGTTAAATTGTAATCTTCAAAAACTACTTGCCCATCAAGAGTAATTACCGAAAAACCATGGAGTGTTGGTATTACAAATCTATTATAGAATTCATCATAATACACTTTTTGAAATAATTTAACTTGAGGAAAATTAAAAGTGAATAATTTTGTTATATCAATTGGATGATCTTTGTATTCTAGTGATTGATGGATAGAAATATCATATACATTAAGATTTGTTCCTAGTACAAGTATTTTCCCCTGGAAATAAAATAAAGATTCACAAGTTGTCATATCTATTCTAAATTCTTCTGAAATTTGGGGTAACCCTTTGACATTATCATAAAAAATCAAGTAAGGAGTCCCTTGTGTGATCCCCGCATATATATTTAAGTCGTCAATGAATAAAATCGCATTCAATTTGTAATTATACTGATCCAGTATTCCATAAGAAATTGTTGCAATGTATTTTGGAGATGAGTATACAAATACATTTTCTGTGCAACATTGAAGTGATGAAGGCCTGCAAACAGGCACAGTTATATCACTAACTGTTTTGACACCATATGATACAACGAGATCCGAGAATTGGCCTTCATACTGCATAGAATCAATGTTAATTTTTTTTTTTTGAAAAAAAAAAAAAATAAAGGTACAGTCACTTCCTTCCAACCAAAATTATGGCCTGAAACTCTGGCTAGAGACTATACATAGCGTATATATGTAGATGTTTGAGCTTGGAGAAAATCGGCTAATACAATCTTGAGTTATATTATCCCCACGAATTATCTCCAGAATTTACTTATATATCGACACGAGACGATTCAGTACAAGAAGTAGATCAGTTTTCTATCATAAAATGAATCATATATCAAAATAATGCAGTAGAATTGATACAATTTACAATACTGGTATAAAATTGAAGCTTACGATATTATGAACTTTATAACAATTAGAACAAGGATCTCAGATGTTAACTACAATCTTAGAATTACGTTTTTAATCTTCTAAATTGAAGATATAATCGACTAAAAACTTGATTTATACTCTATTTATCAGAATTTTTTACTGATTTAGCTTGCACTTATTCACAATCTAATACATTTGTTTCAAAATTACATATTATTTGGATTGATGTTTGTGTATGAAATAATATTTTAAAATTGAAAGTTAAATTCATTATATCATATGACAGGAAATAAAACTTTGGTAATCATCCCGTTCGATTTTACAGTTGAAAATTCCAAAAAAAATTCGAAAAAAGAAAAATAATTATCAAAGATTTAATTTTTCACCAGGAAAAATAGATTTTGAATATTTTTTGGAAAACTATGATGAAGTATTATTGTCCAAACTTTGAATGTGAATCATTTGCAAGTGAAAAAAACTAATAATTTTTGATTTCCATAATAAATATTTTTACTCTTCAATACAAAGCAAACTAGATCTCAGATGTTATGATAAAAATGATATATGCATGATGAATTTCAATATTTTTTAAAGTAAATAAATAATGTCTTTATTTCACCAACAACAAGTAAATATAATAATCGTATCTAAGTGTATCCGTAAATGTTTCGTAATTGTTATTGTTTGTGATATCAAATAATAACATTATGATAAGATATCAAATTTCAATATTAAATAAATCTCATGAAATCAGAGTAATTGTTTGGCGAATGAATATTACTTAGTAAGAAAAAGAGAAATCACTTCTGAAAAACTTCATGAAAGCATTCAAATATCAGTAGTATATGTTGAAGGGTTGTGTGACTTTTTTTGTAAACGTAAGAATTCATACAATATTGAACGATTTTGTATCATTTTTTTTAACATATGAAGTAAAAAATGTATGATTCTTACGGTTTTTATTCTTACGTTTTTGAATAAATCAAGATTTAAAAATGTTCAAAATTGTAAGACATTTACACTCAGCCCATACATAATGAAACAAAAGAAGTTATATATAGATGATGTCAGATATTCCGCGATTAATTAATTATTGTTGAAGAACTGAATGGAATCAATGGAGTCATAATCAAAGACCTCATAAACGAGAAAAAGAAATTGAAACTAATGATTATTTGAATTTATGAAATCAATTATTTGATTCATTCTTTCTTCAATCTCTTCTATTCTTTTTGTTAAATCATCTATTTTCATTAATGAGGTGATTCTTGATTGAGGAATAGATTTCAAACTAACCACTCCTTTTATTTTTGAAATTTTGAATCCATCAACTTTAAACATTTTATTCAATTTACATGTTGTCAATTCTTCAAATAATTTTTTATTATTAGCATAATAGTCATTAAATTCTTCAACAGATGAAAAAATTTTTATTTCAGTAATTGGTAGTAGTATATGTTGAAGGGTTGTGTGACTTTTTTTGTAAACGTAAGAATTCATACAATATTGAACGATTTTGTATCATTTTTTTTAACATATGAAGTAAAAAATGTATGATTCTTACGGTTTTTATTCTTACGTTTTTGAATAAATCAAGATTTAAAAATGTTCAAAATTGTAAGACATTTACACTCAGCCCATACATAATGAAACAAAAGAAGTTATATATAGATGATGTCAGCTATTCCACGATTAATTAAACATTGTTTAAATCATGAATGGAATCAATGGAGTCATAATCAAAGACCTCATAAACGGGTAAAAAGAAATTAGAAACTAATGATTATTTGAATTTATGATATCAATTATCTGATTTATTCTTTCTTCAATCTCTTCTATTCTTTTTGTTAAATCATCTATTTTCATTAATGAGGTGATTCTTGATTGAGGAATAGATTTCAAACTAACCACTCCTTTTATTTTTGAAATTTTGAATCCATCAACTTTAAACATTTTATTCAATTTACATGTTGTCAATTCTTCAAATAATTTTTTATTATTAGCATAATAGTCATTAAATTCTTCAACAGATGAAAAAATTTTTGTTTCAGTAATTGGTTTAACAACGTTTATTTTTTGTTGAACATTTTCACTTTCATTTATTTCTTCCTCCTCTGTTCCATTTATTTTTAAAATTGGTTTCATTTATCATTAAATAAAAATTAGAATATAAGTGATGAAATATATTTTTTAATTAATATTAAATCAGAAATGGCGGCGGGATTCTTTAAAAAATTATGGGATGGAATTAAGAAAGCTGCAGGTTGGGTTTATAAAAAGGTTATTAAACCTGTTGCAAACTTTTTGGCACCAGTAGCGAAAACGGCAGGAACTATCATAGGTGGAGTATTAGGTACTAAAGCAGGTAATCCAGCGATGGGAGCACAAGCAGGTAACGCAATTGGTGGAATAGCTGAAGGAATACTTAATAAAATAGGAGGTAAATAGTGGAAAAATAAATAAATATTATTTTTATCTTAGTATCGGTTGTAGTCTTTGATAAACTTTTTCTCCTTTATTTAATATTTCTCTTATTGGGGCGGCTTTTGGTGTTATTGATTCAGCAACGTCACTAATTGCTTCTTTATTCTTAAATATCCAATTTGCTCCTTTCTTCATTGTTTCCCAAACTTTATGCGCTCCTCTTTTTACTTTATCCCACAGTTTCTTAAAGAATCCTGCAGCCATAGTTGATTATTTCATTAAAATTAAAAATTCATTTTCATCTTTTAATTTTGATTTTTTATTTAATAATAAATGACGACTAACTATTTGGTGCCAAACACTAAACCGATTAATGGAAATGTGTTTCATTCATTCGAAAAGATAAATGAAATATTCGCAAAGAATGACGGTAGAAGATATTATAGAGAACTTGAAAGTTCATGCTATGACTCTGATGCTCCATATTTTGATGATAAACAAACTCATTTAAGAATTACAAATCCAGCTCATGATGTGAATCAATTAGGTGACACATATATTAAACGCAAAGTTAAAGCAACTCTAGTTTCAAATAAAGCTTTCACATGTGATGCCGCTTTTAAATGCATGCGTTTATTCGTTGGTTACAAATCATCAAATCAAAACTTTAAACAATTAGAAGTAGAAACTGAAAGAGGTGATGCTGGTTATCTTCAGATGGATTGCGCCCGTGAATCTTTTGCATTTGCAACATATAAACCGAAATCAGAAAGGAAAGTTAAAAAGTTTGTTCATTCGTTATATAATAATGTTCAAAAATATGATAACTCAGTATGTGGTAAATATATTGACCCTTCAGAAGTTTTCAAGAAAGCAAATGAAGAAGTTGATGTCACTTTTGATATGATTATTCCGGTAAATGATTTGTTAGCATTTCAGGCGTTCGATGATTATCCTAAATCATTTGGTGAAATCATTCTTAAATATTATGTTTTCAGGGATACTTTAGTATTTTGTCAGGTTGACCCGTTAAGAGTTGCTGATTTACAAAATTACGTTTATGAAAAGATAACTGATGAAAATTATGAAAAGATTATGAATCATGTTTATAAATATGATCGCAAATTCCAACAAATCGGACTTCCTGCCAAATTAATTACAAGCTTAGCCGCTACATCTGCTGACGCAACAGTTGATGACGTTATTATTTCATGCACAAAGATGGAAGTTTTAGAGGATAAATGCATTACACCAGGATACGGTTTAATTGAAGAATCAGTTAAAGCAATACCACGTTTATTCAGTAAGGAAGATCCATTCATGATTCCAGCTCAACATATTGACGTTCGTTCACTAAATGGAGGTTGCATCACTCCTGAAGGTATTAGCTCAGATTTCTCATACGCTCTTCATAATGTTACAGATGTTGTGTTAACATTTCCGAAGAATGCAATGCAAAGAACAGTTTTAGAAAATCCAATGCTTCGAGGTCTTCAGGTCACTATAGATTCCAGAAACTTCCCCGATCAAGCGATGACCACAGTGGGTGACATATTCTTTACACGTATGCTTCAAGCTTCTGATTTAGATGGAGTGAATGAATGCACGGAAGAATACGAGGACTCATTAACTAGACCACTGAATGATGATAATGGCACACCATTAGCTAGAACATGGAAAGACCAAACTTCATTCTTATGCACTATTCCAGTTCAACGTGATGGAGCGGGTATATTCTTTGATGGATTAGAAACTTTCAACTCACAAGTTACAGTACAAGTGAAAGCTTATCCAATCATTCAGGGTGAAAATGACACTTACTGTTCAAAGGTGACAAATCCTCCTCAGGTTTGGTTTACTAGGACTACATATTGGACATGGACACCGGACGAAGGTTTGAAATATCATCCAACAGGTACACCACCACAGTATAGAAGTTCATATGATGAAATATTGATGAATAGAAATGTTTAAAATTATAAATTTATTTTTGATTAAATGGATTTAAATTCATCCACTCCTTATGAAGAATTAGCAGGAGTATATAATACATACGTAGATGATATGATTAATGAAGCATTGAGTGATAATAGAAATGCTCTATCTAAGGAAAAATTAATGAAAATTCCATATTCTGAATGTTACTTAAATTCAATCACTGCAGCAATTGGTAAACAGAATAAAGGTAAAACATTAACGATATTAAAACAAATTATCATTATTGCTAACACTTCCCCCTATTCACATGTGTTAATTTATATCAACCGTTCAGG